ACTATCGTTGCTACCTCACAATGCTGCAAGGCGGACAAATTGCCTCAGATGATGTTCAGTGAATGTCCTTGGGGAAATGACTATTTGCATTGGGCAAGCTCTAAGTTAAGTGGAATAAAGACAAGTTTTACAAGTGGAATTTTCCAGAAAAAGTAACATAATGACAGTGATCTGGAACTGGGCTTTGGAGGAGTTCCAACTCTGTTCCGCCCACTTCAGGGGCTTGTGGGTGGTGATTTTCAGTGTGCCGTGGAATGAGAGAGAGGGCGATGTAGCTAAAACATAACTAGTTTGCTGTTCTTACCAACATTTGGACATTTTTATCAAATAAGCACTCCCTGGATTTTTGCCAGCCTGTAGTTAATTTCCAGAGCTATGAGAAATCTGATTTGCATAATTTTTACCAATGTTCTCATTAATTTTATGGAGAAAAGGATTTTTGGAGGTTCTTTCTCTACCATTTCTGCTGATGTCACTTAGCAATAAAGATTAAAAATAGCTGTTTTGTGGGATGGAACGGAGAACAGACTGCAAACAGGTAAAAGCATTGTGGAGAAACATTGATAGTCCAGTTGAGGTTAGAGACTGTGAGTTAGTGGTGCCAATCGCTTACGTGCATGTGTTCTCTGGCCAGCTCAGCAGAGCAGGTATAGAGGTTGAGAGTGAAGGTCGTGAAATCGGACACTCATTGGGGTTAACAGAGCAAGTAGGAGAAAAGGGAATAAGGACGAGAAAGTATGGAACGTTACATAGGTAAGGAAGGGAAGGAAGAAGGAATTTAACGAGTTGGAAGAGTGAATGTATTTGTATAAGAAAATGAGAAAACCAAGAGGAAAAAATGGTGATCGCACAAATGGCACATCTCTGAATTTTAAGAATTTAGAGATAGAGCCACTGGCAGTTGTTTGACAAGGTTCGATTGTACTTAAGTTATGTGAACAATGAGCAAAGAGAATAGAGTTGTATTCTACAGCAGAAACTGAGATTATGTTTATTGTTGTATGCCAGAATCCAACAGCGTGCTTCATAGCAGGGATGTAGGTGAACTCTATGGAAAATACATAAGAAGAAAGATTAATTTTCCAGTGGGAGGAATCAAGAAAGGGAGAAAATGTCTTCTGAGTTAGATGTTGGGAGGATCAAAATTTCAGCAAGTAGAGATTAGTGTCAGAAAGGCCATCGCTACCAGAAAGAAAGTACATCTGATGTGATTAGGTACAGAAAGGGTGAGGAAGGGTAGATGGTCCACTTAGGATGAAGTATAGGATGCTGCTGGGGAGAGAGGACAGTCATAGGTGAAGGTAGAAGGATCAGGACAAAATGTGGAATATCTTGCAAACTCAGCTCAGAAATGTGGATAAATTTATATAAGGACTACCGACCAGCTCCAGGAAGTTTTAAAGCAAGAGCTTGACGTGTGATCACAGTTTACAATAGCAATATAACTATGGCAACAGTGGGAAGGGACAGATTGGAGCGGGGAGTGCTTGGAGATAGACTGGTTGAGAGGCTTTAGAAAAATTGTTTTGTTGAAAAAGGATGATGGGAATGAAAAATTAAAAGAGAGATGTTGAGGAGTGTTATAGCATAAAGCAAAATCAGTCTGATTATCACTAAGATGGGATTAAAAACATTAATTTATAGGAATATATACTGCTGTTGCTGACTTTTTTAAAAAGTTGAGGACATAAAAAATTTAATAAAATAGAATCGAGCCTTATGTAATTAATCGGAATTATAATTTACTTTCTCTTATGAGAATGCTTACATATTCCAGATAATAGGCGAACTCGGTATTTGAGTTGTAGTATCTTCGGAGTATTGTTCTCAATAATATTTTAAAGCATTTAAAATGGAATTTATTCTTATTTACTACTAGGTTTAATCAACGTTTGAATTGTTTTATCCAAAATAATACCAGGAAGTTGAAAGGATGGCTGATTAATACCAATAATTTTAAAGTGTATTATCATTAGACCTAAAAGATTCTAGATATGTGTACAATTTTAGCTGTTCCTTATAGCTGCTTGAGTTTTTAAATACATAGTTAGATCTTGACTGCCCTCTAGTGGCAAATGTTTTTAGATGTATAGTTTGGAGAGGAGGGTGTATGGTTCCTTTAGGCCTTTTTAGGCCCTAGTTAGGTCATTGGCTGTGTGTCATGCCTGGGAGGTACTGGGAACACAGTCTTTTCGCAGTCCTTTGCGTTCATCTTGAGGTGGTTCGTTAATGATATAATTCCTGAATTGTTTTCCTTTGAGTACAAACAGACTTGATAATGTATGACAGAACTGTCTCCCAGTTACTCATTTTTAAATGTCTATTATTATTATATTCATTATAACAGCATAAGCATCACTTATATAACACACTTACATGAGTTGTAATTGCCTGCCAAATGCATCAATGTATCATGCTTAAAACTAAGCAAAGCATAAGGACGTTTGGGGGAGAGTACTATGCCTTTGACAGGATGCCACCCATTAGCTGTTTGCCTGAGCTCCTGTATCCAGAGCTTGGAAGAGTCTCTGTTTCTAGGTACAGTTTGGCAGGTATATATGGAGCACTTACTTTGTGCTCAGGGGATTGTTGTTATAAGGTATGCAAAATAAATGTGTTACAGACTGTCTGGATCTTCTTTAAAAACTCCTACAAACCCAGATTTCACTTTGTATCGGTATTTTAGCAAGAGGTGTGTGTTGAACTATTGCTTCTTTAAAAAGTGGTTGCAAACTAACATAAACTAACTTAAGAAATCTATACCATGGGCAGGGCACGGTGGCTCACGCCTGTAATCCCAGCACTTTGGGAGGCTGAGGTTGGTGGATCACCTGAGATCAAGACCAGCCTGACCAACATGGTGAAACCCCATCTCTACTGAAAATACAAAAAGCTTAGCCGGGCATGGACGGTGGCACATGCCTGTAACCCCAGCTACTCAGGAAGCTGAGGCAGGAGAATTGCTTGAACCTAGGAGGCGGAGGTTGCGGTGAGCCGAGATCGCACCATCGCATTTCAGCCTGGGCAACAAGAGTGAAACTCCATCTCAACAAAAACAAAAACAAATAGGAAAATCCACAGAGATTAAAAAAGAAAAAGAAGCGTTTTGTTTTTTTGGGTTTTTTTTTTTTTTTTTTGGTGAAGTTTCAGGCATGGTAGTGTCTGTCTGTGAACCACGTTTGTTTCAAGTTCAGGTTGAGTGTCATTAATGAGCATAAGAATAATACAGCATTAGGGCCAGGAAAAAGGATGCCAGGGCTCAGAAATTCTGCATTGTTCTTGCACTATAATCTCCAAATAGCACTCCTATTTTCATTCCCTGTAGTAATAGAAGGGATTAATGGTATGTTTTAATTCCAAGAGAATTTTGTAGGGGGCTTTTGGGGAAATTATCTATTATATTTTGTACCAAATTTGCCTTCTAAAGTATTTGTTTTGGCTAATATTAAAATTAGTTTGTGTGACTTGAGCACACTATACATATTTGTGATGTCTAGATATCTTGGAAATCAAACAGAAAGAGAACCTGGGATTTTTCAGTAGTTTAGTTTAAAAAAAAAACTAAATTCTATATTTAGAAAATTAGAGGTTAAATCTATTAATGCATACTAGAAATGTAATATAAGATTTTATTCACAAATATAAATATAATTAAAAATAAGGATAACTGCTTGATAATTTTTTCTGTTGGGAAAATAATCTACAAATGTTTGTATAATTTATAGCTCATATTTAACATCTTAGATTCATTTAGGGAAGGTTACAGGCATATTTTAAGGAAGGAATTGATCAGTAATCTGTTTTTTGAGAAAATATTAACTCTGAATGAAAATTTGACTTTTCCTGTTTATTTAGTATTGCAGCACTGAGAACTAGTTTCTTTTCTTTTCTTTCTTTTTTTTTTTTGACGCAGAGTCTTGCTCTGTTGCCCGTGCTAGAGTACCATGATCTTGGCTCACCGCAACCTCCACCTCCCAGGCTCAAGCAATTCTCCTGCCTCAGCCTCCCAAGTAGCTGGGATTACAGGCATATGCCACCGTTCCTGGCTAATTTTTGTATTTTTAGTAGAGACGGGTTTCACCATGTTGGCCAGGGTGGTCTCGAACTCCTGACCTCAAGTGATTTGCCTGCCTTAGCCTCCCACAGGTGTGAGCCACTGCACCCGGCCAAGAACTAGTTTCTTAAAAGCACAAACTACCTTTAGATATTATAAAATCTGATAGAATTTTTTACGCTCAAAAACAAAGTTTACGATCCTATTTTTCAAAACATATTTAGTTACTAAGTAATAGGCATGAGAATTTACACTTAACCATGGAGATGTTTCTGTCTCTTATTCAGAGACTTAAGCTAGTTTTGGAAGGGTTAGCCAGCAATTACAATTAGTTCTATGTTCAATAATCACCACCACCATTATCAAAAAGCAGTTACTGGTCATTTCATTAACAAAGCCCATGTGGTAGGAGCTGTCTCATGCTACAGCCCTGTTGTCTTCAGCTTTACTTCATCTAATTTTTAACTGTTACATATGATCTAGCTGTATGTTTATTGGCAATGTTTAGTGCTTATCTAGATTATTTTTATAGTTCTGATTTGATCATACCCAGTCAATGATTGAACTGTTGTTAAGTTTTTAGTATGCGTAAGGTTTTTCCTAAATCTTTTTTTTTTTTCAAGTCAAAGCTGTTTTATTATCGTTCACATTATTTTATAGAAAAAGGAATGTAGCAAACAGGTCATGGTTGTACATTTAAAAAGAAAATCCAGGTTTGTAGAGGTTGCATTATTTCCACCTGGGAACAGGGGTGCCCCAGCATCAGACGCAGGAGCTGCACTTATCCAACGCCCCTTTGCAAATGCAGCCCTGGGCACACTTGGCACAGCCCACAGGGCAGCAGGAGCAGCAGCTTTTCTTACAGGAGGTGCATGTGCACTCTCTGCACCTGCAGAAGCTGGCGCAGGTGCAGGAGTCACCGGCGCGCAGGAGCAGTTGGATCCATAAATATATGGAACGCTTCATGAATTTGCGGGTCATCCTCATGCAGAGGCCACGCTCGTCTCTGTATTGTTCCAGTTTTAGTATATGTGCTGTTGAGGCCAGCATGGTCTTACCTAAATCTTAAGGAGAAACAAATAGGAACTAGTTTCTCTCTTTCTTTGTCTTGGTTTGAGGCAGGATATCACTCTGTCACCCCGACTGGAGTGCCGTAGTGTGACCGTAGCTCACTGCAGCCTCGACCTTCCAGGCTCAAGTGATCCTTCCGTATCAGCCTCCTGAGGAGCTTGGACTTACAGCATGTGCTACCATGTCTGGCTGAAATTTTAAACTTTCTGTAGAGACAGGGTTCTACTATGTTGCCCAGGTGGGTTTCAAAGTCTGGGCTCAAGCGATCCTCCCACCATGGCCTTCAAAAGTGTTGGCATTACAGGTGTGAGCCACCACATCTGGCTGAGAACTAGAATTTAACCAGTATCTAGTGACTCTGTGCCAGCTATTGGACGCAAAGTAGGAAGAAGAGGGGTTATAACACGAGGCAGCTCCCAAATTCCACCATTTTTAATTTGGCCAAGTCTGAAGTTTCCTCCTCTGCATCTAACTTAGATCTTAGCTGAGGTGACCATCTTCTTTGAGACATCGATTCAATGGACACTCCTTCCCATTCCCTGTGATTTCTGAGGGACTTATCTTCTCATTATCATTCTGGCCCTGGGTTCCTCAGCCTGAAGCTTCCCCCTCTCAATCTCACCTGCATCTCATTTCCTACAGATACTTCTCCCTCTTTTGCATCATACTGGTCCCAGTGTTGGATGCTGACCTTCTTATTTCTTCCCCAAATCTGTTAAGTACAGCATTTGTATGTGTAGCAGATTACACTGAAGACGGATGGGAGAATGGAAAAGTTTTGTATCACATTTGAGTTCCTACCATCCTGTAGGGGAATTTTACAGTTGATACTGTTGTTACGCTTCTCCACTGTTGATAGCTTTCCCTTATTTCTGTCTCTCTTCCCTTCCTTGCTTTGTCTTCCCTCCTCTCTCACCCCTAAATGTCTACTCATTTCTTACCCAGAGCAGTTTGGATCTTTTATCTTACTGTCTTCTTTCCATCTCCTCCTCCACAACCAAAGCACCAAGCCACTTTTGGGTTTTCTTCTACAGAAAAGTTGTTCTGTCCTGAAAATCAGGCTGATGGAGGGAACGCCACCCACCCTGGTGACGTTACTGAGGTTCATTCTCCAGGGTCTTCAGCACAAGCCCTGTTGCCTTCCACTTCACCCAGCTGGTCTGCCAATGGCTGATCCTAGATAAGAAAGCACTTGGTAAAATGTGAAAGAAGAAAAGAAGGTATCATTATCATCATCGCTGCAGGTTGAATTGCTAAAGCAATTCATGATGTCTCTTTCCTCCTTTTATTTATGGGATCTTTCTCTTTCAATTTCCTATCCAATGACCACCAGAAATCTCTGTCCGTTTCTCAGCAGCCAGAGCCGAAGTATGCAGTGGCACTGGGGAAAGATTCCGAATCTTCCGTGCTGAGAAGACCTATGCCGTGAAGGCGGGACGGTGGTATTTTGAATTTGAGGCGGTCACTGCTGGAGACATGAGGGTTGGTTGGAGTAGGCCTGGTTGTCAACCGGATCAGGAGCTTGGCTCAGATGAACGTGCCTTTGCCTTTGATGGCTTCAAGGTGAGTGGACTTTGCCCCGTACCAGTCATCTGCTGTACGTGCTGGAGGCTCGCCGCCTCTGCTGTTCCTCTGCGTAGCATCACAATACTAGTGTTTTCCACAGCGCAAACATGGAAAACTATTTCACAGAAAAGTGTTTGTCCTTGTAGTCTCAAAACTCTGCCCTACAGCCCATGAATACAGTGAAATTCATCAAGTAAGACATTGCTTTTCCATGGTTATCAAAAAGATAAGTCATCTTTATCTGTCAGAATGTTAAAGATAACTATAAAGTTAAAAATGCATATACATTGATACAGCAATTTCATATCAGGAGTTTATCTTTAAGCAATAATTAATGGTATGTTTATATAAATGTTTAATGGCCACAATGTTGAAGGCAGGGTTGTTTATAATCACAAATGGTTTTCATTTGCAACATTATTAGTAATTTCTATTAAGTTGGGTGGAAGCTGGTCAGGCGTTTGTTTTGTTATTTATGTATTTGTAAGTGTTTAAAAAAATTTTTTTTTTTTTTTTGAGACGGAGTTTCATCCTTGTTACCCAGGCTGGAGTACAATGGCACAATCTCGGCTCACCGCAACCTCCGCCTCCTGGGTTCAAGCAATTCTCCCGCCTCAGCCTCCCGAGTAGCTGGGATTACAGGCACGCGCCATCATGCCCAGCTAATTTTTGGTATTCTTAGTAGAGACGGGGTTTCACCATGTTGACCGGGATGGTCTCGATCTCTTGACCTTGTGATCCACCCGCCTCAACCTCCCAAAGTGCTGGGATTACAGGCTTGAGCCACCGCGCCTGGCCCAAGATTTTTTTTTTTGAGATGTTGTTTCACTTTTGTTGCCCAGGCTGGAGTACAATGGCATGACCTCAGCTCACAGCAACATTCACCTCCCAGGTTCAAGTGATTCTCCTGCCTCAGCCTCCTGAGTAGCTGGGATGATAGGCATGCACCGCCACACCTGGCTAATTTTGTATTTTCAGTAGAAAGGGGGTTTCCTCCATGTTAGTTGGGATGGTCTTGAACTCCCGACATCAGGTGATGGTGATCTGCCCCCCTCAACCTCCCAAAGTTCTGGGATTACAAGTGTGAGCTACTGCGCCCGGCTAAAAAGATTGTTTTATATGCATAAAATATTTTGTTTAATAGTATGGGCTAGGTGCCTGTAATCCCGACACTTCAGGAGGCTGAGGCAGAGGGTCACTCGAGGCTAGGAGTGCAAGACCAGCCTTGGCAACAAAGTAAGACTCCGTCTCTACAAAAAAATTTTTTTAATTAGCCAAGCATGGTGGTGCACACTTGTGGTCCCAGCTACTTAGGAGGCTGAGGTGAGAGGACTGCTTGAGCTTGGGAGGTTGAGAGTGCAGTGAGCCATGATCACACCACTGCACTCCAGCCTGGGCAGCAGAGCGAGACTTTGTCTCAAAACAAATGAATGAACAAATAATAATAACAACAATGTATATATGCATATAGCCACAATAGGATAGTAATAGTCACTTTTGATTGGTATGGTCATAGTTTTTTGAAGTCTTATTTTATTCTTTTGATTTTTTAAGTGAATTTATATACCTTCTCACATGAGGGGAAAAAGGTACTTTTTTTTTTCTTTTTCTTTTTCTTTTCTTTGTTTTTTTTTTTTTTTGAGTTGGAGTCTCGCTCTGTTGCCAGACTGGAGTGCAGTGGCACAATCTCAGCTCACTGCAACCTCCACCTCCCAGGTTCAAGTGATTCTCCTGCCTCAGCCTCCCGAGTAGCTGGGAGTACAGGTGTGCGCCACCATACCCAGCTAATTTTTGTGTTTTTAGTAAAGATAGAGTTTCACCATGTTGGCCAAGGTGGTCTTGATCTTGATCTTTTGACCTTGTGATCTGCCCACCTCAGCCTCCCAAAGTGATGGGATTACAGGCTTGAGCCACCGTGCCTGGCCAAAAAAGCTACTTTTTAACTAGGAAAAATTAAATGAGAATAAATAAGCAGTCATGAAGAGATTGGACCTTTGGTTATTTCTTGGTATGTAAAGTACTGTGTAGAAAAGCATTTCTAGGCTTGAAATTAGGGCACTTTATCCACTTAGTTCTGAAACATCACATTTCCTGAATACAGTCTTTGTTTTTCATTTCAAATAGAAAAATTTAACACCTTTTTTGGGGGGCTCAAAGTTAGCAAACTTTAAACTTCAAAAAAATAAAATAATAGATAAAAGGCAGCTTTAGGTTTGTACTTCCTGAAGATCAGATAGAATGAACTGGAGTAGGAAGTATTCTGAGGAAGTTGAAGTAACATTTACTTCCAATCAAACAATAGGCAAGAAAGCGTACTCCCAGTTTGGGAACGGGCATGGGGTGGTGGGGTAGGAAGGAGAACACCACAGCCAGGTAAGTGTCAGGCATGTTATGCCTTTGGATTCCTGATGTAAACTTTTTACAAAGCACAGTGTGTTATATTGAGAATTATATCATTGTTTTATATTGACAACTATGTCCTATAACATATATAACATACCAATTCACAGTGAAGGTGAGGCTTAAGCAAAAAGTTAAAAGATGTATCTGAAAAAATAATTTATATAACTCACATGTCCCTATAAAGCAATGGAATATACTTGTAGATCCAAAAAATCACATTTATCAAAACCGTGTTTCGAATGTACTTACAGTATGAGATTTCACTTTATGTATATATAAAAAAAGGTTGGCATCTATATTCAATATTTGGCTTGTTACTTCAGCAGATATCCTAAGGATATCTTTAGGTTTGATTTAAAGCTTTTTTAACTTTTAGTATGTAACCGAAATGCTTCTAGATTTCCATTTTGTTAAAGTATTTGTGCCATCGGTTCTAAGGAATAACATTTCATTTTGAAACAGATGAAAATTACACTATCATTTTCAATGACAGCTGCCCAGCTTGATTCGCTAGCTCGTAATTATTTGTATTTGTGGGAGTAGAGAAAAACAACCCATATGCTGGGAAACATTCATTGTAGCAGAAAAATAGTATATTCTGAAGGCATATCATTTGTCTTGCAGTAGAAAATATGTGAGGTTAGATTTTAAAGTAATCGGCTTACAAAATCATGAAATAGCTATTGGATTTTTTTTTCAAGATTCAGTAATATACTGTGTTAATATTAGGTAGAGATTTAGAATTCCCAGACAGCTTCATTTTGCTTAGGACATTGGAGTAGACTGATAGCCAGCCCGAGTTTCTCCTACTGTGGTGTAAATGGAAGGGGTTGCTGTTGAGTTATGACAGAGTGGTGGGTGGGTGCTATTTTCTTGGCTTAGTCCGTGACAAGGGACTTTTCTGTACTCCATAGGCCCAGCGGTGGCATCAGGGCAACGAACACTATGGGCGCTCTTGGCAAGCAGGCGATGTTGTGGGGTGTATGGTCGACATGAATGAACACACCATG